TGAGGCGTCAGGTGGCGGGGCGTCAGGTGGCTTCTTGTGGTGGCTGGGAGACTGGGTTGGGATCCGGTGCAGATACCCATAGCCAATACCACACCCCAGACTGCCGAAGTCCAGAAACATTCAATCCAGGGGGTTGTCCCATAGCCCCTAGGTCTGCCAACCCCACCCACTCCTAGCCATGAGGGCCAGCAAGGGTGCCTCCTGGACCAGTGGTCATCCTCAGGATCCCTGGACCCTGGGCCCAACCTCCACCCCCCACCATGGGATTCTGGGCGTCCACGTCCAGCGGCCAGGTCCAGCCGGTGCTCTGCTGGGCCCCTGCCCTACCACCCTCCGCCTGAGGAAGTACCTGCCCTCTCCACCCCAGGCTGCGTTGGGAGTTACAGTCACCTCCCGGCAGGAGTCGGACTCGGAGTTGTAAACCATCAGCTTCAGGGGCTTTCCCTCGTGGGACTCGATGAGCGTAAAGAAGTCCTCGGACTACGACAAAACCAGCACCTGAGCCCCACTCCCCACACTGAACTGGGAGGCCTCGACTAAACGAGGCCCCCCTCGTGGACAGCACCCATCTCAGCACCTATCCGGGGGGCCTGGGGAGGACAAACCAAATGCTGCTCACCTCCTGGAGGATCTGGTCTGAGCCAACCACATAGTCTGTGTATGGGCGCAGGCCAGCAAGGGAGGCAGGTGAAGAGGGTTCCACGTCCTAGGGAAAGAGAAATCACCAACTATCTGTCTTGCTTCTTGAGTTGGGGATGGAGAGGGGTCGGCAGGGAGGATGGAGGGGCTCCCTTTCCAGGTACTGAGCAGGACACTTGTTCTCAGGCTCCAGGGCTAGGACAAGCCCAGACTCTCCTACTACATCCTTCATTTCCTGACCTCCCCAAGGTGCACAGCCGGCCAGCAGAGGGCAGCACCACGGCACTGCTCACAGCCCTGAGCTCTGGAATCTCATGTGGGTTAAATCCTGACTCAGCCAACCTCTAGCCTGTAACTGTGGACAAATACTTAACCCCCTAGCATCAGTTTCCCCACGATTAAATGCAGGATATGCAGTCCTTCCTCATAGGGTTGCTGAAACAATTAAAAATAGAATACAGGTAAAGAATGAAAACGACAGTTGGCCCACAGGAAGTGCCCAACTGCTGTGCTGTTACTGGGTGCAGCATATGGCTGAGACCCCTGTGGAGGGGCTGGAGGCTGGGCAGTGAGCAGAACTGGGTACAAGCATCATTTCCTCCCTTGGGAAACTCTACCACTCCTAGCTCCAGGTCTCCCAGAGCAATTCAAAGGGATTTGCCTCATCACCCCATTGTACTGGTGGATAAACTGAGGAAGGCTAAAAGGTTGAGAAGTCTCCCACAAGAACTCAGTGAGCAACAGAGAAGGCTAGAAATCAAATCAGTCCGTTTCCAGCTCAGGGCACCCTCCTTCCACCAAGCCTTGGCACTAAGCATTCAAGATTGTAGGCACCATCGTGTGTGTGTGTGTGTGTGTGTGTGTGTGTGTGTGTGTGTGTGTGTGTGTGTACAGACACTGCAACATCTGTGACAACTCAGTCACTGAGATTCAGGAAGACCCCAGGCCCAAGGCCCAATGGGGCTCTGAGGGGACCTGCCAGAAATGACTAGATCCCAGTAGGCCATACAGTCTACCAGAAAAGACCCCATCTATAAAGACCAGCAGCAGCAGCATTCTGGCAGTGTAAGCGCCCCTCCAGTTGGTTGTACACCACCCCTCAAAATAGGAAACCAAGGTCTAAAGGGTGAGAAGGGTGCCGCAGGTCGCCTGGCTACCAAGCAGGGTACACAGTTCTAGGGATGAGGAGCGGCCCTCAGGAGCCCTGTCCCGGAAGCAGGTCGTTGGCCCCACCCAGATGCCCCACACCCAACCCTTGCCCCGCACCCCCCCACTCACCAGCACGTGCCACACGTGCTCGCTGGCCCTGCGGAAGCTGCAGAAGCGCACGCTGGCCCCCAGCAGGCCCTGGCCGCCCCACATGTTGCTGGGCACCACCTCCACCTCGCGCACCTTCATGGTCTTCATGTTGAACACCTCCAGCTTCACGGGCTTCTCCACATTGGCCTTCAGCAGGGCCTTCAGCGTGTCATTCTCCTTGTTCTGCGGGGGCAGAAGGGCTGACGCCAAGCCCCCTGCCCCCCACCACCCACCCCCCAGGTTGGGGTCTCTCAGACAAGTCTGGGTCCAATGTGGGGAAGGGCCCAGGAGGCCAGGAACCCCAGCAGGGTCTGGTGTGGGCGTGGGCCAGGGCAGGGTCTGGGCCTGCGACCACTGCAACCCCCACCACCCCTAAGCACCACAAAACCTGCCTCTCTCAGAACCCCTGGAAAAGACAACAGAGTGAGCAAAGAGCCTGCTTGGTCCAGAGCACTGCAGGGCTCCCCTCTCTGACAGGTCCCTTGGCACCTTGACACCTCTTGTGCCCTGAGAGGCAGGCCCTTTACATCTCGTGGCCAGCTCCAAGAGCCCCAAAAAGCTCAGGAGTTGGGCACTGGGCAGTGCACCAGTCAAGCTGAGTACAGGCCTAGAAGGAGGAGAGGTGAGCTGGGCCTTCCTCCAGAAGAAAAGGAAGAAGGAGCAGAGTGGGGCCTGCTGTGGGTCAGGGGACACACACACACATACACACAGCAGCTGTAGCATGGGGGAGCCTCACCAGCCTTGAGTGCCCGATGGTGATGATGAAATCAAAGTAGGGTTCCAGGCCTGCCTGCTGGGCTGGGGAGTTCTCCTGCACCTGTCCCACAGCAGAGGCCACAGTCACAGCAGGCACCAGCCTCGTGACTCTCCGAGAAGCCCCCCACCCATGTCCACAATTTCAGAGACCACACATCACCACTTTCGGTGTCACAGCAAGAACCCGGGCCCTGCACAAACTGTTCTAGGCAGGCGACTGGTGAGCACTGTCAAGGTAACTCCACCCTCTGGCTACCTACCTGGGCAAGATTGTTCTCTTTGGGAAATGGCTCTTGTTGGGTCATGACCCACACATTATACTTCCAGAGATGCCTCACAGGAGAGCCCAGGGTAGCCCTGGGAGCTTCTAGGAGGCCACACAGACACAGGGCACCACAGGCCTGTGGGGAAGCTCGGGCCACTGGGAAGCCGGCAGGTTTACCAGAAAGGTTTAGATGTGGACAGGAAGGGAGGGCCCCAGAATAGATGGTACCAGGGCTGTGCTCAGAAAGACAGAGAGGGTGGGCAGCCTGTGGCCAGATCCCAGAGCGCAGACCCTGTGGTGACAGATCCGAGCTCAGCTGGGCAGGTGTGGGACCTACTGAGGAGTGCAGCTGAGGGAAGAAGACCCAAGGGACAGGGGACATGCCTGAGCTGGGAGTCCTGTAAGAGGGAGTCCCAGAAGTAGGGATGAATCCCGGCCTCACAGCCTAGTCTCCCCTTCTGTGTGGAATGGCTCCTCCTCCCGGGAGCCACTCCAAGCCCAAGGGGGCCTCCAGCCCTGTATTCTGGAACTCACTGCTGTCTCCAAAAACACAGCAACCAGGCCTCCCAGCTGGGGTAAAAATCCATCTCAAAGGCCTCATTTACAGAGTTTTGCTCAAACAATGCAGCCTTTATCCCCAGGGCTGGACCCTGCAGTGGGCCCCACACCCTCAGGCCTTTGGCTGTGAGCACTTGATGTCCCGCTGGCCAGGGATCAGCCCAGAGGACACAGGGCTCATGTGGCTTCAGGTTCCGGATGCATCCACCATGGGAAGGCCCTGGGGCTTCCGCCACCCACCAGCCCCTATAGTCTTGGATTCCCCAAGCTGAAGGAGAGCTCACCCCACGCCTTGGGATCCAGGGTAATTCACCCCTGGAATTAGAACGTCCTTCTAGCTGGGTCACCACCCACTGAGGCCCTGCTTGCCATCCCCAGGAGCTTGCCATGGCTTCCTATGACAGTGAGCCCAGAAACCAACTCCAGTCCCAGCTGGCCTGCAACAGGGGAGCTCTGAGCCCTGCCCCTCTCCCGCCACGGGAAAGCTGGGACAAGGTGTCTTTTGAAAGCCACTGGACAGTTACTCAGGGACAGCTAATGCGGAGGTAGTCCTCCTTCCCAGCTCAGGACCTCATCCATGCCACTCCTGCCTCCCCCTGCTCCTGAGGCCAGTGCCACCCAGCTGCCAGACCACTCCCCTCCTCAGTTACTCCTTGTCACTCCAGCATTACTGAGGTCCAGAAGCTCAGGCCTCCAATCCCCAGGCCCTCTTGCCACCCTCTGCTGTGATCTTGTCTTTTGGCTGTACTCCCCTGCCCTTGCCCCCCACCTTGCAGTCACCCTCTAGGGCTCTGGAGCAGAGCTAATCTGCATGGCTTGCCACTACATCCCCGCTCCCGCCATAAGCGCTGTCCCCTGTCGGCTCTCCTTTGGGGGCTCCCAACACCCTCCACCTCGCAGCCCCTCGACGCTTGCTGGTGAACCACCTTTCACTGTGTTCCCCAACAGGGAATCTAATGTAATTAAAGGGACAGCAGCTGACACTTGCTGAGGACTGGCTCCTTGCCAGGGGACTATGCCACCTGCCCTACCTTGTGTTTAACTCTTTTACTAGCACTGACTTCCCCAGGAGGAAAAGCACTCCATTATTCAGAAATCTGACTCCAGGAAGTCCAACCCAGAGCCTGGACAGGTAACAACCATTTCCTGGGGGACCCTCCAGGCCTCTAATCTCACTGAGGGCAGGGACTTCTCCAACGTGCCTGGTGCACAGTAAGAACACCAGTATTTACAGAAGACAACAGACGTGTTCTTCAGTTTTTAAAAAATGTAAGTAGGTAAGGTCACACTTCCACGGAAAACGTCCCCCGTTCCACGGGGCAGGAGAAAATCCTGATCTTCAGGACACGACAGGTCCTGCATAGTCTGGTCTCTTCCTTTAGCACTTGTCCTCCTCACATGGGCCACCCCATCTCTGGACACCAGCCTCATCTCCTGCTTTATCAACCCAACCGTCCCAGAATGCGAAGTCTTCCTCTAAGTATCTGTAATGTCCACTCCTTCCCTCCCAGGTGTCTTCCTGACCCCTCTAACCAAAACAGCACCCACTCATCCTCTGTATGCTCTTCCTCTACTTTCTTCTCCTCGCACTGCTCACCGCCTATCATATTTGTTTCGTCTGTCTCCCTCCTTTCTGTGCCAGCAATGAAGGATAAGCTCCATGAGAAGAGGGACGGTGTCTGTTCTGTCCACTGCTTTATCTCTGGTACCCAGAACGTGCTCAAAAATACCTGTTTTTGTGGATGGAAGACCTCCAATCTCTTGACCTCTCCACTCAGCCCCTCTCCCACATTCCCCCCACCACTGCCCCACCTCTCCCCTCTCGCCAAGTCCTCAATTTCTTTGCTTTCCATCAACCTGCTGGAAGATTCTCCTGATGGGAGGCGTTCCGCTGTCCACTTTTCTGTCAGGTGCCTCACTGTGATGCCAACCAGAGAAAGCCCATTGCCAAACACGAGCCTGTCAACTCTGGATCCTGAAGCCAAGCTGGCTTGCCTTTTGGGAACCCCTTTCTTTCACCCTCCCCTCTTGTGGTTAACAGAGCTTCAGACACCCCTCGGCAGCCAGGTACCAAACTGACCAGCTTGCCTGCCTACACTCAGCTCTGCAATCCATCCAGGGTGCCCCTGAAGAAGCAAGAGGTCCTTCCCCGCTGCGCTGTGGGTTCGGAGACCCTCCTGCCCCTCTCACCTCCGTTTCAGCACCTCCTTCTCCACAGTACACATCGCCACCCCAGCCCTCCATCTGGCTGCGGGCCCTCTCCTCACCTTCAGACTCTAGGAACCCCGCTCCGTCTCCACTTTGTCCAGAACTGCTTGTCCAGTCTCGTCCCTCCCCTGCTGCCAACGCTCGCACCCCGCCTTCTGCGGCTCGCACCCCGCCTTCTGCGGCTCTCCCAGGCTGGTTGGCACTGCTCCTCCAGCCCGGAACCGGAGGCCCGTCGGCCGGATACGCGCCGGCAGGCCCGGTGGCAGTCGGCGTCCACCTGGCCATCCCGACGGGGAGCTGGGGTCTTGGCCTTGCTGGCTCTCTCCCCAGGCCCAGCAAGGAGGCGATCACAAACATGACCCGGGTGCACAAGTGCGTCCCGGCTGGGCATGATGCAATCTTCACCTGGGAGAAGTGCCATTCCGGGGGCCGGACCCGACCAGGAAACGCTCCCGCTTCCTGCACGGCTGGCACTCGGGGCCGGCGCCGGGCAGACCCGGCCACAGACGGGCCGGGGGCCAGAGAGCCTCGGCGCCGCCTCCCGCAGGCGGCTCCCACCGGGAAGGAGGCACACGCCCCACCGGGAAGGAGGCACACCCCGGCCGCTCGGGGGACCGGGACCCTGCCGCTGCCGCCCTCGAGCCGGCGATGAGACGTCCCCTCGCGTCCGTGCGGGCGCCCAGCCAAGGTCACCGGCGCCGCTGGGGCGACTCACCCCGTGCAGATGGAAGCCCTCGGCGCCGCCCGCGGGCTGCTCGGCGCTGGCTCCCAGACCCATAGCTGCGGCCCGGCGGCGGCGCGCGTGTCCCGTACTGCGGTGCCCACCCCGCAGCGCGACCCGTCGCCACCAGCGCGCACTCGCCCTCTCGGCGCTCGATTGCGAGCGCCTTGTCACGTGGGCGCCTGCCTCTCCCACCCCTGACTCTGACGTTCTTAGCAACCGGCCCTTACCTCCGTTTCCAGGGACGCGCGCCTCCAACTTCCGGTCGCGAGAGGCGTGCGGGGGACCCTGACTCGGAAATCCAGCTCCGGGCGGCTTCACCAGACCGGGACTCGGAGGCGCGGGAGCCTGGAGATGAGCAGCGATGACTCCTCTCTTATGGTACGTGGCCCGAGTGCTGCCAAGTCGCTCCCTCCGGGATTCTCCGCCTCCGGCCCCGAGACCCCCGCGCCCCGCTGCTCTCCTGTCACCTCTCCGACCGCCCCTGCTGTCCCCTTTACCTGCCTTTCGCCGTCCCCGGCCGGCCGCTTAATGAAAGATCTGGCCCCCTCTGCTTCACTGTTCATGGCCAGTGCATCTTTCTCCTCTTGTGTTCTCTGTGCACTCTGAGCTCCAAATCAACATCCCCACCCCGTCTTGTCCTCGAGCTCCCCCCAAACAACGTAACCAAAACCCATCTCTTTCATTTTGCCATCATCTCCCCCTCCCCTGCTGCTGCTTCTGCGTCCCCCACCTCAGTAGAGGGCACCGGTCTGGGGAAACCTTCAGTCTTCCCCATCCCCATCTCAGGTCCTGCCTGTCAGCAGGAAATGTCAGCCCCTACAAGTCTCCTGACAGAACCCTCTACTTTGTACCTCCTAGTCCGGGATAACCGCTCCCCAGGCACCTGAAACACTAACCTCCCCCTCCCCACCAACACACACTCCAGCTCTCTCCTCACCAGCAGTCCCCACACCACCACCACCACTCACACACACACACACACACACACACACACACACACACACATCTGAACACATCCCTCCTCCTGCTTTAAAACCATTCCAACTGGGGTGCCTGGGTGGCTCAGTGGGTTAAAGCCTCTGCCTTCAGGTCAGGTCATGATCTCAGAGTCCTGGGATCAAGCCCTGCATCAGGCTCTCTGCTCAGCAGGGAGCCTGCTTCCTCCTCTCTCTCTGCCTGCCTCTCTGCCTACTTGTAATCTCTGTCTATCAAATAAATAAATAAAATCTTTAAAAAAAATAAAAATTAAAATAAAACCATTTCAACTGCTTCCAATTACCTGAGGATGATGTCTGGGCTCTTTCATATGGCCCACAAGACTGTTCACAACCCAACCACCTCTCCTCCCCAACTCCAGCAACCACAAACCTTAGGGGAAGTGAGACTTCACTTTGAAATCTCAGTCCCTATTACTGCATGACCTTTGTCAAGCCATCATCTCCATAGGCTTCAGCTTCTTTAACTGTGAGGGATATCATAATGCATAAGATAATGGGTGTAAAGCCCTTGATACGGTTTCCAACAAGTGTTTAACCCAGAGTAACTTACAACTCTAACTGGTGGTGTACCCATTCTTATGATCGGCCCTCTCTCTTTCCCCTTATTCCCTTCCTAAGACAAAGTCTAAATTGAATCCTCCATTGTCTTTGACCCAGAATATGGTGATCAGTCCCGAATACATCCAGGCTTCTTCTTTGGAAACTGCAATGGAGCTACTCCTGGGACTAGTGAAGAACAAAATGAGGCCTTAATGTTCTCTTCCCCACCTTCCTTTTGCATAATGGGGGGGGAGCAAGGAATAGGGGAGAAAGTGGGTGAGATCAGAGAAGGGACTGGGGCTGTTGCCCCTGTGTCTTCCTTTCACAGGCTGGGATCATTTACTATAGCCAGGAGCAGTACTTCCATCACGTGCAGCAGGCCGCAGCCTCGGGCCTGGAAAAATTCAGCAATGACCCCGTCCTAGAGTTCTTTAAAATCTACGGGATCCTCAGGGAAGGTAAGGACTTGCCAGCGTTGGCCTCCTGACCTCAGGCATTAGCCCAGCCCTGACACTCTGGCTCCACCTGGAATGCCTCCTTACACCCCAGCCGCGTGGCCATGGGAAGAGTCTTATACTCAGTGGCTAGGTTCTGAGGTTAATCTACATGTGGCTGTGTAATACATATCTAGTTGACTTTTGAAACATTGGAGAGCTCACCACCCTTGCTCTGCCCCTCAGTTTCCCTGTCTGGAAAACGAGTGGGTGGGGAGACATGACTGCACGCTTATTGGATAAATTCTGGACCTGGAACCTGGGAGCTGGTAGTGCAGGAAAAGGAGGAAGTGGGAGGTATGGGTAAAGGCAAGTATGGTGCTGGGGCAGGGGGAGGAGCGATCCTCAAGCAGGTGCTGACTCACTGAGGCCAGGGGCTGGCCGAGCTGCCCACGGCCAACCTCAGTGGACACGGAGGGATAAGTGGAATCTGTGGCTCTTCCCTGAGATCCTTCTTCAGAACTGACCCCCCAGCCCCAAATCTTGGCCTCATAGGTGCCCGTGCAAGTACTCACAGGTGCATCCTCCAGCCCCAGGCAGCCTGGACCCTGGTGTCAGCAGCCCCTTCAGAGGTCTTGAGCCACTGGGGATGTTTGGACCTGTTGGCCTAATGATTCTGGGTGAAACCAGGTGGTGCTGAGCCTTGAGTCAGCTCTGACAAGGGCTCCCATGTGTCTGCCACGGAGCCTCCTGCCCTCTGAGAATGTAATCACATGGGCTTTCCTTTACAGAGCACATCCAGGATGCCATTAGCAACCTGGAGAGTATCCGGAATCATCCAGACGTGTCCTTGTGCTCCATCATGGCCCTCATTTATGCTCACAAGTGCTGTGAAACCATTGGTGAGTGCAGCCATGCCCGGCAAGGCCTGGTCCCGCTGGGGAAGACTGCCCTACTCCAGAGCTATAGCCGCCCAAGGGCCTGTCACGGGAGGTCCGGTGCACCAGTGACAGCACGTGCTATTGGCCAGTGAAGAGTGGCTTCTGTTCCCTCCCCTCGGAGGCCTCAAGGAAGAGCCCGTGCCCAGGTCCTGCTGAGTGGGAGTTGCAGGCAAAGAGCATGACAGTTGGAGGGGTCCTCCTTTCAGAGCCCAGGAGTTGGGAAGACACTCTGCTTTCCTTGCCCCAGACCTTGTGGAGACAAATCAAGTCAATATAAATAATTCCAACCAAGGGTGCCTGAGTGGCTCAGTCCTTCAGTGTCTGCCTTCGGCTCGGGTCAGAGTTCCAGGGTCCTAGGATCCAGCCCTGCATTGGGCTCCCTGCTCGGTGGGAAGCCTGCTTCTCCCTCTCCCTCTCCTGCACCCCCTGCTTGTGTTCTCTCTGTCTGTCAAATAAGTAAATAAAATCTTTTAAAAAGTAAAAATAGGGGCACCTGGGTGGCTCAGTGGGTTAAAGCCTCTGCCTTCTGCTCAGGTCATGATTGGGCTCTCTGCTCAGCAGGAGCCTGCTTCCCTTCCTCTCTCTCTCTCTGCCTGCCTCTCTGCCTACTTGTGATCTCTCTGTGTCAAATAAATAAAATCTTTTAAAAATAAATAAATAAATATATAAATAAACATTAAAATAAAATCATTAAATGATTCCACCCTCAATGTCCACCTCTCTAGAGTCAGGGAAAGATTTTAGAGTCAGGAAAAGATTCCAAGATGCTGCCAACAACTATTTCCCCTCAGGATGGATTGTGGGCCTGAGGTACGGGATTCACTTTGGTTTGTCTGCTCCGCAAACTGCTGGGCACAGGGGAGACAAGAGAAAGCTCAGACTGCAAACCCAAGTACTGGTGTGGGCGGCTGCTGCAGTTTCTAGGCCCCAGGGCCCTCAGGGCCTCCTGCAGTACCAGGCAGCCCTCCTCCCTCTGACTCGCTCCCTTCCTCCTCTTGGATTCACAGACCGAGAAGCCATTCAGGAGCTGGAGAGCAGCCTGAAGGAAACCCGCAAGACAGCCAGCGCAACGGCTATGTACTACGCAGGCCTCTTCCTCTGGCTCATGGGGCGCCACGACAAGGCCAGGGAGTACGTCGACCGCACCCTGAAGCTCTCCAGCAGCTCCAGAGAGGTACCTGCTGCAGGGGACAGCAGCTGCAGAAAGCAGCATCCCAACATATCCCAGTGGGGTGGCCGTTACTCCTACGGAGCACCCTGGGGCTGGGAGAGGGCTGCATCGGGACCCCGACAAGAGCCCAGGTCTCACAGGACCCCCCACTCACACTGTCTCGGGCTTTAGCTGAGTACATGCTGGCATGTGTCCAGAGTCTAAGCTGCAGACAGTCATTCCGGGGCCTGGACTTTATATTTTTTAAGTCTTGAATTAATTGCCAACATTTTGAAATCAAAAGATTTTGACCGAAAAGCCCAGATTTCCAGGTTCTTTGGGAAAGCCAGATGAGCTGGTTACGACAGGCGTCTACCTTCCCTCCTTGCCGTGGTCTGCTGGGTATCAGTGGTGGCCCACCCAGGAGAGTCTTACACTCGGTGGATTGGGACTGTTGCTAGAGTTTGAAGCCTCAGTCCCGGCTCAGCCTAGCTGCCACCTCAGCGGGGAGTAACCTCACCCCCCAAGGGGGTGAAAATTGGTTCCCCGAGGAGGGGGTGAAAAAAATCTTGCTGTTTATGTACAAAACACAGATTTACATACTGCATAGACAGATAGTATATCTGTGAGATTAAAATATCTTGGAGGGAGAGGAAATGATTAAGGGAAAATATCTGAAAAGTCTCCTTAAGAGGGGAGCCATGGGAAGGAGTTGAGAAACACTGGTTTTGGGCATAACGCTTCAGGGCAATGTCCAAGAGACCCTCGACCTCACCTCCCAGGCCTGGCCACCCATCTGCCAGCAGAGGCTGGGTGAAGACTGGAGCAGAACCCCTGAGCTCAGAATGGCTCCTGCTCACCCTCCAAGAAGACATTCCCGCCTCCTGCTCAGTCCAGGCGCTGTGCTAGGCTAAGGCGTGGAGAGAGGAGGAGAGGCCATGCCCAGTGGCCCATGGTGGCCTCCTGACCCCAGTGTAGAGTAAACAGGCAATGACAAGACAGGTGAGAGCATGTCAGTAGGGGCAGCAGAGCTGTGGGGGTCCCGGAGAAGGCCCACCCTCAGCCTGGAAGGTCATAGAAGGCCTCTGACAGGAGGGTCCTCCTAGGCTGAGTTTGAGAGACTCGTGGTAATCAGGTGAAGGGGTTTGGTTGGGAGTGCTGCAGGGACAGCGAAGTGAAGTCCCAGCACTGGGAGGGAGACGGGCTGCACTGGGATCTGCAAGTAGGTGTGCCTGGGGTGGGGGGTCTCGGGGTACAGAGTGACAGGGGTGGGACATGAGGCTGGAGAGCAGGCTGGGTTCTGAGAGGCTGTGCAGGACCAAGGACTTCATATTCTGTCTTGTTCTGATCCCAGGGCTATGTGCTCCGAGGTTGGGTGGACCTCACCTCAGACAAGCCCCATACCCTGAAGAAATCCATCAAGTACCTAGAACAAGGACTGCAGGACGGCAAAGATGTGCTGGGGCTGATGGGAAAGGTGGGCAGTGGAGGGAGGGGAAGGAACCCTGCCTGGGCCCCTGGAGCCAGGGAGCCTCTGTCTCCCAGCCTTCACCTGGCCCATGAGGAGCAGGGGCCCAGAGAGGATCAGGGTCACACAACAGCCCAGGGCCCACTTGGTTCTCACAATCCTGCCTGCTCAGTCTGAGTCCCTATCTCATTCTGCATGGAGTCTGCTCTGGGTCCGTCCTTTTTTCTCTGCTTCTTTCTGTCACGCTTTCTCTTCTGACCTATTAAGTTCAGTGGGCCATAAGAGAAGGGAGATAGGTGTTTTGTGTTTTCTTTTTTTTTAAGATTTTATTTATTTATTTGACAGAGAGAGAGAATGAGCACAAGCAGGGGGAATAGCAGGCAGAGGGAGAGGGAGAAGGAGGATCCCCATCGAGGAGAGAGCCTGATGCAGGGCTCAATCCCAGGACCCTGGGATCATGACCCGAGCCGAAGGCAGATCTTAACTGACTGAGCCACTCAGGCACCCGTTTTGTGTTTTCTGATCTCAATTTAAATTAAGTTCCTTTTTTCCTATGTGACCCCCACTAAATCAATCCATGAAGGAAAAGCTAGCTCTCTGATTCTCTTCTCTTAGTATGTATCTTCTTAGAAAATGAATATGTACTCATTAAAAAAACAGAAGGCTGTCAAAAGACGACATCCTTCACACTCCCCCTCCAAACATCTCACGTGGACATTTAGGACCTTGGTGTCTTCCAGTCTTTTTTACTCTGCATGTGGTTCAGAGGGTGCCTTAGAAGGGCTTTCTGGGAAGCGGAAGCCAAGGAGAGCCTCGTGCAGCAGTTTTATCTGGAGCGCCCTTGGGACCGACACCTGTGGGAAAAGGGACAGAAGCGGGACTGGATGGCAGGAGAAATTGGGCTGTCACACAGCCCTAGCAAAGGCCTCAGCCAACTTGGGGTTCTACAGCTGGGGTGGCCTATCCGTGACCTCCTCCCTGGCCACGTGCCAGGTGGGGGCTGCCCCTGCGGACGGGTGTGACCTGCCACAAGGCTGCTGCCTTTAGCCATGGTGACCCCAGCGGGTAGGCCTCCCAGAGAGCTATCAGCCTCCAGTTCTTCTGGTCCTGAAGGTGATCCCACTGAGCACCCTCCCCGGGGTGGGAGATAGTGTTGTTATTTAATTTAATTGTAATCATGAGGCATCTTATCACTCGGGTTCCTTTTCTTCATGTAAGATTTTGTCATAAGCCACTGTCATTTTGAACAGCTCCTTCAAGCCAATCCCCTATTGTATGGCCCTCATAAAATTTGCCCACCCAGATTATTTCCAGTTTACACTTAAAAACTGAGTGCTGCAGTGAGCACATGTATGCATAAATCTATGTAGAACAATCCTCCTCTTGTTCTTAATAACTCTCTTGAGGGCGGGTTGCTGAAGGTCTAATGTAAGCTGTCCCTGTCAGAGTCCAGTTTCAAGTCCTTTGGGAGCATGGCTCTCTGCCCTTCAAGCACCTGGGGCATAACTCGCTCCGGAGAACCCGGGGGCTGGCACTGGCCTGCAGAGGCCAGAACCCCAGGCCAGTGGGCCTCAGCAGAGAAAAGCAGCCGCAGCCGCCCTAACAAGGGTTTTGCCTGCAAGACGGAACTGGCCCTGGGCCCAAGGGAGCAGTCTTCAGCACTAAGCTTCAGGAAAGTGAATGACAAATGAGTGAGCCCAGCACCCTCAGGTCTCCCACCAAGGGCGGCCTGCACGTGGCCTTGCCATCTCCCACACTTGCTAGGCCTCCCCCTATCTCCCCAAGAGCCCTTGCCTTGCCTGTCCAGGAACCCAAGCCTGCTGTGGACTTCGATCTGTGACTCCGAGGGATGACTCCTTCTCCAACACCTTCCCCCCGCGCCGGGGCCTCGGAAGGATTCCTTGGCCGAGCTGAGGGGACTTGCATGCCCTGTGTCAGGTTCTGCTCCTGTTCTGCTAGAGACCCAGACACCCCCAAACTCCCTCTGTGGGCACTGATGGAGGCTTTTCTCCTGGGCTTCCAACAGGCGACCTACTTCATGTTGCAGCAGAACTACTCGGGGGCACTGGAGGTGGCGAACCAGATCACTGTCACCTCGGGGAGCTTCCTGCCTGCCCTGGTCCTAAAAATGCGGCTGTTCTTGGCTCGGCAGGACTGGGAGCAGACAGTCGAAATGGGACACAGGTGAGCAGCGGTCGTCAGCCGACACCACCACACCCATGTGCCGCTGCTTTCCTTTTTTTTTTTTTTTTTTTTGGCAAGCTGAGGGTGCTGATATGTTCCCATCTTACAAGCTGGGGAGATGGGAGACACCATGTATTTGATGGAACAAGACATAAAAGTAAATATTGTCAAGAGAGGTATGAATAGTGATGTGATCATATGGGGGAGGCACAGGGAGGCTGTGGCCTCTGATGGATAAAGAAATGGGCATATATAGAGATAAAAGCACATTGTTGGGGCGCCTGGGTGGCTCAGTGGGTTAAAGCCTTTGCCTTCAGCTCGGGTCGTGATCGCAGGGTCGTGGGATCGAGCCCCGCATCGGGCTCTCTGCTCAGCAGGGAGCCTGCTCTCCCTCTCTCTCTGCCTGCCTCTCTGCCTACTTGTGATCTCTGTCAAATAAATAAATAAAATCTTAAAAAAAAAAAAAGCACATTGTTTAGAAGACAGGTGGAGGGAATGACCTAAGGAACCCAAAGCAACCAAGGTTACAGGACGACAAGCAGTTGCCTCTAAAGAATGGGGGGCAAGGGGGTATAAAGGGACTGTTGCATTATTTAATTGTTTTAAGCTATGGGTATGATATGCTGTAAAAAAAACTTCAGGGCCAAGATCATTGGTGACCAGGAGAAGCCTTTCAGCTGAGGCCGGGCACATTGGCCAGACAGTAAGAGCTGGGGAGTTCCTGGGGCTTTGGGAAGCCAGACACCAAATTGGGGTGACCTTAGAGTACGGTCACTGTCAATAGAAATAAAGACCACTTGGGGGGAGGGATGTTTGATGGAAGGTTTTCTGAGGATGGAATTTTCTAGATAATTGAAGCTTGTCTCTAAACTCTAAGACTTGAACTACTTTTATTAAGTAATTCTAAAATGTATGCTACTAATTTTCTTCCTAAAAAGAGTTAACAGACTTTGAATGACCATAGGGCATCACTCTGAATTGTTACTAAATTGTAGTACCATACAGCATAGTTCAAAACCAAAACAAAACACAAGCAAACCTCTTCCTTTCCCGTGGAGGGATGGTAATTTCTCTAATGATCATCCCTGGAATTTGCATCCCAGAGAGAGGCACCTGGTAGCAAATGAACATGATTCGGGCCTGCTCAGCCCACAGGGGCCCCCTTGTGCAGTGCCTGTGTGGGCCTTGGCTTCTCTATCCCACAGTTGACACCTGGCCAGTGTCCTTGGCAGGACCTGGGTCAAGAGCTTGCTTTGGAGGCTTGGCCTTCAGCCATCAGGATCCTGGGAGCACCTGGCTGAAGGCCACAACCATGGTGTATGCAGTCTCCCTTGGCCAAGGCCCTGCTGCCCTGCCCACGGGGAACAGTGTTTAGTGCCAATGGGCTGAGTCCCATACCCAACTCCTTCCCTCCTGGAGGTTTCCCCAGCTAGTGGTGTTCATAGAACTCCCCCATTGTTTTGTATTTAAAAAAAAAAAAAAAAGTTTTTAAATGTTTTTTAAAGCTTGCTTATTTACTTATTTATTTAAGCAACCTCTACGCCCCTCTATGTGGGGCTTGAACTCATAACCCCGAGATCAGGAGTTGCATTCTCTACTGACTGAGCCAGCCAGGCACCCGCCACCATTGTGGGTTTTTTTTTTCTTGTTTTTTTAAAAGATTTTATTTATTTGACACAGGGAGAAAGAGAAAGAGAGCACAAGCAGGGGAGCAGCAGGCAGAGGGAGAGGGAGAAGCAGGCCCCCTACTGAGCAAGGAACCCAATTTGGGGCTTGGTCCCAGGACTCTGGGATCATGATCTGAGCCAATGACAGATGCCCAACCAACTGAGCCACCCAGGGGCCCCACACCATTGTGTTTTAAATCTTTGCCCCCTCTAGATGTGTTTCTCTTTCTATCCCTAACATTATTTATTTTTCCCTTCCCTCTTATTTTTCTTCATCTACATTAATTTGTTTCTTTTATTCATCTTTTTAAAGACCCAGCTTTGAGTTTTGTTGGTGGTGTCTATCACATCTCTGTTTCTTCTCTGTTAATGTCTGCTCTTTATGATTTATGGGCCTGTTCTGCTCTGGTTTTCTAACTCTTGAATCAGATGCCTGGTTCACCCATTCTCAATTTTCTTTTAGAATATAAGTTTTTTTTTTTTTTTTTCCAAGTTGGGAGAATATGAGTGTTTAAGTCTGTGGATGTCCCTCAAGGTACCATTTTATCAGTATCTACACATTTGGATTTGATATATTCAGTATCGTTTGGCTCTAAGAATTTTCCAATATCCATTCTGATTCCTCCTTAGTTCATAAGTTATTTAAAAGTTTGTTTTTTTTTCCCCAAATGTATTTGGTTCCTAGTACCTTCAGAATCACTATAAAGGGTTAGAACCGTTTGAATGCTGACTGCCTAATCAATCCTGTTGGAATTTGGGGTGTTACTCAGAGTAATCCTCTAGGAAGCACAAGGCCATCCCTGACCAGGCTGAAAAACAGGAAGTTTCCTATAAAAAAAACAGAATATTGAACACCCCATAGTATGTATGACCAGAAACATGAAATCCAGTCTTCACAGTGACACATGATGGAAAGCAAGTGTCCTGTTTTATCATACAGCTGCAGACAACCCCCCAAGCACCTCTCTACCACTCTGGGACCCTAGGACCACAGTACCATGATAATGTATGTGAGAGCTGGAATATGAATAGGCTTCTGTCACAAATTGCCCCAGATACATGACTTAAATGACATGAGAAGTTATTCCTCTCTCAGGTAAAAGTCTGGATGGTTGTCTGGGACTGGGACAACAGCTTAACTCTGTAGGGTCCCAGTCCCCTTCTGTCTTCCTGTTCTACCATTCTTAGGATGTGGCTCCCATAAAAAGGAAAGAGAATAAAGAGAAGGTGGGCTGTAAGAATACAGCGGGATGTCACCTGGGGTACTTGTGCTCACACTGTATTGACCAGAACTTAATCACAGGGCCACCGCTGAACTGCAGGGGAAAGCTGGAAGATGTAGTCTTTATTCTGAGTAGCCGGGAGCCCAGCCAGATTAGGGAGTTCCATTATTAAAAGGAGAAAGGGGGGTGCTTGCGTGGCTCAGTGGGTTAAAGCCTCTGCCTTCAGCTCAGGTCGTGATCCCAGGGTCCTGGGATTGAACCCCACATTGGGCTCTCTGCTCAGCGGGGAGCCTGCTCCCCCCCCCACCCGCCTACTTGTGATCTCTGTCAAATAAATAAATAAAATCTTTGAAAAAATAAAAAATAAAAAAATAAAAAGAGAAAGGGAGACTGGATATTTCCAGACAATCCTGAGTGGCCACTGCACGGTGCTAGCCTGGCCTATGAAAACTCCCAATTCATGTGGCTCCTCTTCCTATTTCAGAATTCTAGAAAATGATGAGTATAATATCGATGCCTGCCAAATCCTAGCCATGCATGAGCTTGCAAGAGAAGGAAATATGACCACAGTAAGTTCTTTCAAGACTCAGGAGTTGGGCCTTGGGATAAGCACAGCCTGGGGGAAAGCACTTTGAAAACCCCATCCCCAGCACCTTGGAGCGTGCTCCCTGGATCTTGGCTCCCTCCCTTCTCCCTCACCTACTCCCATAAGGAGGTCAGGGGGTCTGCTCTGGTTTGCTCTTTGGGCAGGCAGTGAGCTTGGCTCTGGTTCTGCCCTGAGCCTGGGCAGGTTCACCTGGAGAAGCCCCGGGCTCCTCATTTGTAAACTGGAGATAATTCCAACCACTTTGTGAGGCTGGTAGAAGGACTAAGTGGGATGACATGTGGGAGAACTTGGAACAGTGCCTGATTTTGGGAAATGCCATTTTTTTAAGGAGTGGACTGGAACTGCTCGGGTATTGGCCAGGTAGAACCTAGCCCCAGATTTGCTCCTAAGGCCGATAGTTTTTCCAAAGAAACCCAGAACAGTCTTGAAGCACAGTCAGACACATCTGGAATTCTTCATGAAAACCTCAATGCCCAGACAGGTTTTTATTTTCAAGAAGAGTTTGTGTTTCCAGCCATAACATTGCCTTTTTGAATAATTGTGTTGCCTCTGTAAAGGGTGGCAAATCAGGAGTCTGTAAGGGTTTCATGATGGGAAGAGGAAGTTTCTGGTTCCTTCTGCACAGTTCTGAGTCTATGGGTTTTGTGAGGCGGGGTGAGAAAGAGGGTATAGTCCATATTTGGGAGGAACCCTCCACAAGGGCCCCAGTGCCATCTCTGGGTAGGAACAGGAGAATAGGGCCTGTCCTCAGCTCTGTGCATCTCCAGAGTGCTGGGCAGTCTTCCTGGGGCCTGGCCTGAGGGTTAATCCCAGGGGCGGAGTTAGCATTAATGCCCGTCCTTGACCCCCCACCTCAGCCCCTGGGATTTACCCCTCTACCCAGGCCTGGCTGCTCAGTGCTAACCTTGCTTGTATCTACTGAGCAGAGTAGTCCTGCCCCATCCTGGGTTTCCCTTCTGGCACTTCTTTGCAAAACTCCCCACTCCTGGGTAGGGAAAGGACAGAGGCATCCACTGGAAAGAACACAGGCTTTGGAGTCAGTCACCCAGTTGGCTGAGTGACCTCTGGCAAATTCCCTAACTTTTCTGACCCTTTGTCGGCTAGACTGGAAAGTTCAGAGAGTTCTAGTGACTTACAGGGTTATGGGGAGGATTCATTGGAGTGATGGAGCGGCACAGTGTGGTGACTCCCGTCAACATGGAGTACAGGCTCAGGGCCAGGGACCCACCACGACCATCTGCTCTTAGAACCAGCCCAGCTGGCCAATGCACTGCCGGCCTGGGGGGCTGCCCTGTGGACACCATGACAGCTGGCTCCGGCTCCGGCTGGGGGGATCTGAAAGGGCAACTTCTCTTCACAAATCCATGAACAAAGGGGCGATGCCAGCTCTTGGCTGAGCAAGGCTCCCGAAAGATCCACCTACTGGTTTTAAAATAATAACGGGCTCACCCCAGCCCAGTTGAATCCAAATCTCTGGGGCTAGCTCCTGGGTGTGGGAATTTCTCCCAGGGGATGCTAACGTGCAGCAGGGTTGAAACCTCTGCCCAACTCCCATTTTCTACTTTACCTTTGACCTTGTCTGTTTTGTCTCCCACAGGCTACCAACCATGTTAGAAATCTGATTAAGGCACTGGAGACAAAGGAGCCTCAAAATCCAAGCCTCCATCTTAAAAAAATTCTTGTGATTAGCAGGCTGGTAAGAAGGTTCTTTCCAGGTTTTTTGAATCATGCTTCTTGCTGTCTTCCTAAGGGGAGCGCTATGGCCCCCTGGAAATTGCCTGGGTACCCTGTCCTCCCCTCTCTGGCTCAAACTTGGCCTCTCGGGCTGGTGGCCCGTGCCCAGTGGCCACTAACTGCCTCTGGCCAATAGCTGTATCTGGGCCCAGATGCTGTTCAGAGACACTGTAAAGATGAGTGCAATGGCATCTGGAAGTGTTTTTAGAGTAGGAGGTCCCTTATTTGGGGGAAAAGGTAAGTATTATGGCTGTTACATCATAGCAGTGCCATGCCCAGCCGTGGCTCGGGGTCCCGGGACACCTGACTGCTATATTCTCTCTATGAAAGTGTCCTGGAAAGGCAGGCCTGCCTGTACCTCTCTGACCAGACCAGGTGCAAAAAGACCAGATTGTCAAACAATTTGCTTCTGGCAGACCCTTCAGCCCAAAGCAAGATTAACTAGAAGGAATCACTGCAAAACCTGGGGTAGCTCCGGGGCCTTGGGAACCAGAACCATGGGGTCCAGTGCCACGGGGACACCATCTTTCCCACAGAGACACAGATCTGTGTCTGATGCTCTCTGCTCGTTCTGCACATCTGGCAGGGAACATGGCTGCTCACAGCCTTCTGGGCAACTTCCCATATCAACAGGACACAAGAGCTTCTGTCACCCAGCTTCAATTTTTGAAAAACTTCTTGGTGACTTGGACCAATTACTGTGGCGAGACAGGAGATGGGCCCTTTGGAGGGCCCTATGCCTGGAGGCAAGTTCCACAGATGTGGCCAGGGTGAGGTTCTTTGGAAGCTGGACAATTGCACAGACCCACCTGTGGGTTGCGTGCAGCCCTTGGGCTCTCCTGAGCAGCTGAAATGTGCCCGTCTCTGATGTGGCCTTGTTCAGACAGGCTGCACTGACTGGTTTCTCTAATCCCGTGTGTCCATTCCTCACAGTGTGGGAAACACCAGGCGATTCTCCGGCTGGTGTGCCCCTTCATGGAGCGTGCATTCGTGGCCACACCCTCCTATGCCCATGTGGCCACGGAGCTGGGCTACCTCTTCATCCTGCACGACCAAGTGAGGGAGGCGTCTCAGTGGTACTCGGAGGCCATGAAACTGGACGGGAGCAGTGTGGCTGCCTTAACAGGTCTCTGCAGGCTGGGCAGGGTGGGGGCATGGGGGCACAAAAGGCAGGGAGCAGGGTAGCGTCCATGGATCCAGAGGAGAGATGCTGGGAAGCATTCTCTCTAGAGGGTGTGTGAGAGTTTGGGGGTACATTGTATGACAGGGGTGCCTTTCTGTGACATATAAACAGATAAACCCATACTCCAACAGAGGCAGAGATGGGCCACCTTAAGAAATAAGTAGAACCATTTTTTCCCCCAGAGAGCTCCAGGAAATACAGAAATTAAACAAAAACAAAAACAAAAAAGCAAAGCAAGCTCAGAGTCATTGGAGGCTGAGAGCAAAATAGGCCGTGGGGCAGTGGGACAGTCAGTGAAATAATGAGATAACTTACTGGAGGATTGGTAACAACTGGAGAATGCAATCCAGGAGGCCCTTAAGGGGGGTGGGGCGGGGCGGGAGGTAGCGGGTGGGAGCCTCTCATGCTTCCTACCACCATCAGAGACATGAAGGACAAAAAGACTTGCTGCTCCACACAAAGGCCACATCCCCTGACATTCCTCCACTTGGCTCAGTCCTTCCCCACTTCCTCATTCAGGGCAGACCCCCAGCCAGTCAGCCGGGAGGGAAGTCCACCGGCCTGAATGGCCATCCCACACACCAGCCTGGGCCAGTCCTGTCAGGTGTGTGCTGGAGTCACCCTCTCATCTGACCTGTCTCGGAAAATCAGTGACCTTAACAATTTGGGAAATGTGCCTTAGCTGCTAATACTCATCAGTCTAGTCCATTTGTAAATCTGCTAACGCTTTGAAAGAGGGGCCCGGTGGGACATGCAAAGCCACAGCCCTCTGAGGAGCAAAGTTAAAGCCAGTTATAGAAGAAGACTTCCCCCTCCCCCACTAAAACACCTCTCGTGTTTGCAGAGGCTTTACGTACAGTCAGTACATAAAGAACAGGCTACTGTGAAAAAGGGTATAGGGAACAAAAAAACTACCGAAAATTAAAAATACGATTGCAAAGTACAAATTCCATAGATGAGCCAAATGGTGGGATGGATAGTCGTGAAAACCAGGATGGTATAATTAAGAGGACAATCAGGAATAAATACACTGAGATGACCAGAAAGTACCTATAAAGGAGGAATAGTAAGAAGATGGATTTGGCTTCCCAAATCTAAAACACATTAGGAAACAATAGTACTTAAGTCAGCTTGGGGCCAATGCTGGAATAAAGAGGCAGATAAATGGCACAGAAACAGCTCCTGAGAATAAGGTGACATTTCAAACCAACACAGTGGTAGGTTTCAATAAACCATGGCTGAACGTCTGGCTATCCAGCATGAAAAAAGTAAAGGGAAGTTCCTATCTCATTCCATACTCAAAAATAAACTCCAGTTTATTGGCTCAGTTGGTAGAGCACGTGACTCTGGATCTTGAGGTTGTGACTTCGAGCCCCACGTTGCAGGGAGGGGGTGTAGAGATTAGTTAAAAAATAAGCTCCAGAAGAATTAGATATTTAAACCTAAAAATTCAGTTGGACTTGTCTTCCCTGGGGGAAACTCAGAGGCTGGAAGGGGAAATATGTAAAAGTTTGGAACTAATGGATGGCAAAAGACACTGAAGAGGTAAATGGCAAACTAATGGAAAATGTTGGCTACAAAGGATTAATCATCTTAATATATAAAAAGAAAACAACCCTAAAAGAAAAACAGGCTAAAGCTACTATGTACGGGAGATTCATACTAGAAAAGAAAAAGGCCATTCAATATATAAAATATATATATATTCATTTTCCCTGGCAATTAAAAAAAAGTGAATTCAGATGAATTACTGTTCACTCTTTAGACTGGCAAAAAGTAAAGCATATCTGCGAGGTTGTGCAGAAAAGACTCTTTCAAGTTCTTGGCTGTAATATTAATTGAAATGTCTCTGGAGGACAAGTTGGCCTTACCTGTTAACATTTTAGATATACATGCCCTTTGACCCATCAGCTCAACTTCAGGAATTAGAACATGGGAATATGTTTACCGAGACCCTGCAACATTTAAGCATCAAAAGCAAACTAAATATGAGATGAGGTGTCCTTCAATGGGACCACAGTCAAATGCAATATGGAATCCAAAGTGGCATGTTATGTTGCCATTGGAGAGAATGGGGTGGATGTGTGTATCACTAGACGCGAACACATTGCTAACAAATGAATGCTTAGAAAGATGGTCGAAGGACTATACTGCAAATTGTTAAGGGCGGTTACCTGTGGGGAGAGATCTGCTTCAAGCTAGCGTGTGAACTAGGGATGTTTTTCCATATTGCCTCATGCTTTGACTTCTCTATCCTGAGCATACATCACCCTTCCTTCCGCTGTCGCATCTGTGCTCCTTGGCCTGCTGGCCTGCTGGCTCCGTGTCAGTGCCGGCTGCTCATGCTCATTCTATCCGGGCCCAGGGCTCATCTGGTGCCAGATCCTGGACGGCCACCTGGAAGAGGCAGAGCACCAGCTGGAATTCCTGAAGGAGGTGCAGCAGTCCCTCGGGAAGTCTGAGGTCAGAGCCCTCTGAGGGGCATGGGTTCCTCCAGCATTGGGTCGCCCCCACCCCAGTTTCTGGCATCCAGCAGCCCACATAGCCTGGACTCCTGCTTCACCCTTGCCTACCCACTGCCCAGCTGGCGTTGGTGCCAAGAGCTGCACCTGCCTCCCACAGGTGCTGCTTTTCCTCCAGGCCCTCCTGGCATCCCGCAAGCACAAGGGAGAGCAGGAAGCCACTGCCCTCCTGAAGGAGGTCGCAGAGTTGCACTTCTCCAGCATGCAGGGACTCCCCCTAGGCTCTGAGTACTTTGAAAGACTGGACCCCCACTTCCTGGTCTGCCTCGCCAAGGAGTACTTGTTCTTCTGCCCCAAGCAGGTTAGTGGAAGTTCTGTCCTCAGGTGGGGGTCAGGAGCGTCGGTCTGGACAGAGGCAGGTACATCACCTGGCTGGCACCAGGCAGCACTGTGCTCTTGTGTCTGGGGAACCCCTTCTCCTCTGAACAAACTTGAACCTGTAGCATGTGAACCACTTGAGAGTTGTTCCAGTTTAGATTCTGATGGGTGCGGGGTGGGGGGAAGGGAGCCTGCCTCTGGAAAGAGCTCCCAGGTGATGCCCGTGCTGTGATTGTCCACAGACCACCCAGGGAGGGGCAGGGCACACTGGACTGTGCCCCTGCCTTTATCCTAGAGAATAACCAGGCTCCTTTTCTCCTGCAGTCTTCTAAGAAATCTATTAGCCTTTACTTGTTTGTCTGCTTTACTCGTTTGCCTGTTTGCCCAGCTAGCCAGGATTCCCTGGGGGCAAGGATCATGTCGCCCCCAGTGCCATCTGAGTTGTCCCACAAATATTTATCAAGTGCACTAGCCACGTGCCAGATACCAGGTTAGGTACTGGGGACATGATAGAGAGCAAAACCAAGTCCCCCTTCTCCGGAGCTTTTGCTCTAGTCCTCGATGGCACAGAGTGCCATAATAAACACCTGGAATGAGGTAAAATTCCTTCACTGAAACAGTGCTGAGAGCTTTAGGTGTCTGTCTGGCACGGGGCCAACTGTACAGGCAGGCCCCGTGTTCCTCCAGCCCCGGTCACCAGGCCAGATTGTGTCTCCGCTCCTTAAACAAGTCGCCATGATCCTGGCTCCTGTAATCAAAGCAGCGCCAGCGCTGATCGACCCCCTGTATGTGATGGCTCAGGTCAAGTACCTCTCAGGTGAGTCCCCCCCCACACACACATATACACACACACATATATACACACACACATACACACACATACCCTCACCAGGCCTGCCCGCATCTCTGGCCTCCAGTCCCCTGAAACCAGCCTGATTTCCCTGGCCAGCAGGGGTCTCTCCTACGTGGCCTGCTGTTGGTGGCTTCTGAGCTCTGGGCCAGGTCATCGTCCCTGAACTTCCATTACACACTGGGGCCGCGCTCATGCTGGGCTCCGCGAGTCCTCCAAATAGGCAGAAACTCCCTCACGAGATTCGCATTCTAGTAAGGGGAAATCGACAATAAACAGAATAACGAAGCACACTGCTTGTTTGTTAGGAAGTAGTAATGCCGTAGGGAAAACTAAAGCAGAGGAGGGGAGGTGGCGGCAGGATGGCAGGTGTTTTAAAGGTGGTCCCGAGGGCCTCATGAGGAGGTGAGACCCTGTAGTCTTAGGACTTTCAGAGTCTCAGGGTGGCCAGAGCAATATCCTTCCAGCATCTTCCATCTCAAGGCCCAGGCCCTGGAGAGAAAGAGGGAAAAGGGAGAAGCCTTCATGGGAGACTTATTGTCCTTTCTGGGTACCCCCCCCCAGCAGCCTTGTAACCCCGTCTTCCTGGAAGACAAGCTGATCTCTGGTGTGCTGGGGGCTTCTGAAGAATCCCCAGTGCCAGGTCATGGATCAGCCTCCGGCACTGCCTTGCATGGGCCATGCTGCACAGAGAGCTCTCCCCCTTCCTCCTCCGGCTTCCCAGTGTTTCTCTGGGTTCCAGGCTTATCCACAGTTTCAAGGGCTCCTGGGTATGAGGCAAGGGCAGGAGCACGCCCCCAGGGATGCTGGCAGCTGCCAACACGCAGGTTTGGGGCCAAAGCCAGGTCTCCAGCTGCTTCAGTTGCCATAGTGACACTTTCACACTTCTGCAGCACACAAAGAAGGAGCAGGGAGTCGGGATCCACACGCAGGTGCTCCCCACCTGCCAGGTTATGGACCCTGAGCAGGAGCTGTTGAGAGATGCAGAGGAATGCAGGACCCTCCTACCAGCTCAGTGTACCCCACTATTGGGCTTCCCACTGGGGCTGCAGGGAGACCCCATCCCCCTAGTGCTAGATCAGAGCTCAGCCTCAGGAACCAATTGCCCTGGAGTTCAATGCTGACTTGGTTCCTTGTAAGCTGAGTGACTTAATCATCACTGGGTCCCAGTCCTACAGCTAAAAGACACGGACAACACTGCCAATCTCACAGGTCTGGGCAAATATGAAACCCACTTTCTAAAGATGCTTTGCATGTGTTGGCCATAGAGCAGGTGCTTTGTAAGTCGGGGCTGCTATAGTTACCATTATTATTAGGTTTCACTCTGCTCTGAGGTGTGGGAATCAAGACTTAAGTGTTCCCCAGAGCTTCCACACAGACCAGTGACATGACTTAGCGATCTCCCTGAGGGCTGCAGAGAGAAAGGAGGGGGTCACACCATGGTTCGAGTTTCCTGGCTTTTGTCTGGGTCAAAACACAAACCGTAGTTCTGATTTTAAGATGAGAACTCCGAGGGAAACAGGACAGACCCGGGTCAAATGGCCAACTTGGGTATTTCCGGGTAACGGGACTTAGAAACTTCATTCTGCCTTTACATCCTGGGCCCTGGGAGTCCACTGGGTGCCCTGGATGTAGAGGTCTGTTTCTCATTTCCAGGAGAGTTAGAGAATGCCCAGAGCACCCTGCAGCGCTGCCTGGAGCTGGACCCTACCTCCGTGGATGCCCACCTCCTCATGTCCCACATCTACCTGGCACAGGGCAATTTCGCCATGTGTTCCCACTGCTTAGAGCTAGGCGTCAGCCACAACTTCCAGGTGGGGTCCTCTGTGCCCAGCTGCCCACTCAGCACCCCTCAGCCCACCCAGCTGCAGCCCCCTACTTGCCCTGGGAGGGTAGCCCCAGGCACTTCCTACAGCCTGCAGACCCATCTGCTGGCCAAAGGCAGGGGCAGGCTCAGTGGGCTTCTGGAGCTTTCTCCAGGCTGTGTACTGTGAGTCGCAGCAGCAGCAGCGCGCTGGAGCCCTGTGCTCCTCTCTGCTCCTCTAGGTCCGAGACCACCCCCTCTACCACTACATCAAGGCCAGGGCCCTCAACAAGTCTGGGGACTATCCAGAAGCCATAAAGACCCTGAAAATGATCATAAAATTGCCAACTCGGAAGACAGAAGAAGGCAAGAAGTTCCGCGGGCCCTCCGTACAGCCCAGCGAGCGGGTGTCCATCTTACTGGAACTGGCAGATGCCCTCCGGATGAATGGGCAGCTGGTAAGAAATGCCATGCTCTCTTCCCTTAGGACTGAGACCTTTGGAGGTCCAGGGTCATCAACCCAGGCTCTCTGATTCTGGCTGGTGGTTATTTGTGCTATTATTTGAGCCTTTATTCATTTGGGAGCACATCATACCCCTGCCTAAAGGTTTCTGTGGCTCCCACTGCCCTCAAGGTAAAGCCCAAACCCTATTGAGTCCTGCCCGATCCATCCCCTGCCTACCACACTGTCCCCGTGAGGACATGCAGGCAGAGCAGAGAGGCCCATGAGGACAGCTGCAGGTAGCTATGCAGAGGGGACCAGGTAGAGCACCCATGGATACCATCATCATACCTCAACCTTTATGAAGTCTGTCCCCTTGGAGTTTTGTGGTATACAACATGGTCAACTGTATGAGGCAGCCCTGGGGCCTTGAGGGGCTAGCTAGGCAAAGGCAGGGAGCACCTGAGCATCCTGTGCAGATATAAAGGAGCAGCAGAGAACACAGAGATGGGTGATGGGAGGGGGGAAGCTGCCTCCACATGCTCCCTTGGCCCTGCTGACCTCACTCACCTGCCCACTCTCCAGAAAGGGGTTTGTCCGGCAGAGCTTCAAGACCATTTCTGCGATCCCCCAGTACTGGGGCATCTGGCCTCCTGTGATGACCCTGCCATTGAGAAGGAAAAGCCCATGAGGCCTTTTCTCCTTAAAGTTAAAAATTGCCTTTGGAGTAAAGATGGGGATGCAGAAGGTTGTTTGTGCTTCCCTCCTTTAAATCTGCCAAAGGGATACAAGAATTGCAAGTGGAGAAGGAATCTCCATCTATAATGAAATTAGGGGAGTGCCACATCCCGAAAAAGTTGATTCAGCTGGTCATTGATTTGGCTAGAGACTGAGGGCCAGCTATATGTCAGGTGCCATGTGGGAGCTGGGGATAGAAGAGAGCAGCCAGCAAGGGCCCCATCCTTTCAGAACTTTACACCCGTGGGGGAGAGAGAAAGAAGGGTGCCTGAGGTCCCTGCATTTGCTTGAAACTTTCTGAACCAGAGATGTGGTCAGCCAGGAAAAGCAGGGGCATTCCGCTTTTGGAAGGGGAGGACCACAAGACAAGAACTCTCTGCTAAAATGCCTCCTTCCTTCTCTCTGTCCAGACTCCTTTCTAGGAGACATGGGCCAGAGGAAAGTAAGGAGGGAAATGACCAGAAAATCAGTTCTGCCACTTGCTTTGCTAGGATCTGTAGACTGAGGTCTTCCTGTGAGCCAGGGGTTCCATCCTGACCCCAGCTTCTCACAGAGTCTACCCCACAAGGGAGGACCCACAGGAAGCTCAAAGGAAATGGGCTTCTAGGGCAGTTGTGCTAGGCCCTCTCCCTCTCCAGCCTTGTTAATAAGAAAAGGGAATGAGAATGGCATTTGAGAATGAGCAGTGATCAGAAGGGGTCCAACATGGTGGTTATAGGGAAGGAAGGAGGCAAGCAAGGGAGGAAAAAAGCAGAGGAGGGAAGAAGGGAGGAAAAGAAGGAAGGAAGAAAAGGATGGGAGGGAATGAAGGAAGGCAGGAAGGAGAGAAGGACAGAAGGGAGGGAAGAGGAGAGAGGAAACAAAATCACAAGCCAAAGACAAGTGAGGGTTACACTTTGGGAGAAAGTATACAAAATAGAAGAAATATTAAAAAAAAAAATTGTGGACTCAATGGTTTTACAAGAGTAAAAACCAGCTCAAAGCAGAGCACCAGAGATCCACAAAAGGGTTCAGCTAGCCAAGCTACAGGAAGCAGTAATCTCATTAGTCCCCCCAAAAAAATAGAAAACGGCTGAACCCTTGCTGAGGCTCTCTGATGGGAGAAAGGGTTGAGAAAATCACTGAAGTGATCTGAGAGGATGACAGATAAGAAAGAAAGAGGCAGATAGCTAGCCAATCCAAAATCATTGTTTTTGCAGAAGGGAGATGAAACGGAACAGGGGACACATCAGAGAGGTACTGGGAGAATGATTCCTTTAGGGGAGACATGAATCAGTGACCCGGAAAGGCACTCTGTGCTGGAGAAATAGCAGTAAAAAATTAAGACCAAGAAATATCCTAATAGTAATGCCTTAATGAAGTTACGAGAATCAAGGATTCACAATGTCATTGAAGGTTCTGACAATCATCTGGGAAGGCAGCTGTGAGAAAAAAAAAAATCAACTTGGCCTCAGACTTTTCCTCAACTATACTAAATTCAGGGAGATAACAGAACAATACTTATAAAATGTCAAAGGGGTTAGGATGTCCCCCAGGATGTCTTTCATATGTGAAAGCAATAAAGGATTCTCTAAAAAATTGAATAACTCCAGAATTATGGTGTTTATTAAAACTTTTTGAAAAACCCACTTGTCGATATAATGCAGACAACCAAAACACAAAATAAATGAAGTTTTTACAAGTGGGAAAAATCTGAACTGTAAAAGGACGCATAGAACTTATCTAAATAAATCTAAATATAATTACATTGAAATAATTACAGTCATTTTGACTCAAAGCCAGCATAATAGCTAAATTCTTGAAATAAAAGTTATTAAAGTCAAAATAAAAATAGTATCCCATAAAAAATTCAGGGAGGAGGATGTGAAGGGAAGGTGCAATTTTTTTTCATCTTTATAGAGTGCGAAACAAAAAGTTTTCACAAAATGTTTCTTGATAGAAAGATAACTCTTGGTAGAATTTAAAAGAGAAGATTCACACCACATTTTTCAAGAGTTATGAAGAAAGGAAAGCAGAACCTCACATTAGGCAGAAATGAAGCTGAACACAGCAGCATATAAAAATGAATACAACAAAAAAATGAAAACAAAACAAGTTGACAGAAAACCTAAGAATGTATCTGTGATAATAAAATTATAAATGAAATAAATGTGCCTATTATATAAAAGAGGCATTGGAGTGGTTTAAACAAGCAAACAGAAGGAACCTTTACTGTCTATATTTCAAAAACCAAAGGACCCAGAATGAAAGTAAAAACATGATACAAACATATGAAGCAAAAAAAAGAAAGCAGAGGTTGAGGAAGAAATGTCTGGTAAGACTGAACCCAAGTCAAAAAGCACCAAAATAGGGAAAGAGAGTACTTTGTTAAGGTAATCAAGGGTATAAATATAATGAAGAAATAATTCAAATAGACTTTTATGTACCAAATACCATAACATTAAAATACTTTTGGGGCATCTAGGTGATTCAGTCCTTTAAGCGTCTGCCTTCAGCTCAGGTCATGATCTCAGGGTCTTGGGATAGAGTCCTATGGGGTGGGGCTGGGGGCTCCCTGCTCAGTGGGGAGTCTGCTTCTCCCTCTGCAGCCCTCATTCCTGCATGAACGTGTGCACGTGCATGTGCTCTCTCAAATAAATAAATAAAAATAAAACATACCTTTGACCAAAAGCAGGAAAATACAAGATGTGTCATAGGTCTCCAACAGGAAGGAATTGCCAACAGACATTGAGGGGCTAAGGAACAGGCTGGTTCTTACAGTTGTGGGTTTCTGTACCCTCAGGTCTCTGAGCACCTTCCCCTTGCCATCCCCGAGGAACAGTGGTTGTGGACATTGAAAGGCTGTCTCTCCTTTCTGTCACTGGAACCTCTCTGCAGGTGGATGTGAGCCATCCTCCCCTTGGCTTCCGTATAGCTCCCAGCTGTCTCTGTTTCCTTTCTCTCCAGGGGTTAGGAGTGGGAAGAGGGATCACATAAGTCTCCTCCAAGAGGTTTCAAGCGTGGTGGGTGACAGCTAACAGAGCATCTTTTGGGTTCCCATGTCCCAGCATGAGGCCACTAAGGTCATGCAGGACGCCATCAATGAGTTCAGCGGCACACCAGAGGAGATCCGCATCACCATTGCCAACGTGGACTTGGCCCTGAGCAAGGGGAATGTGGACATGGCACTGAGCATGCTGAGGAACATCACGCCCAAGCAGCCCTGCTACACAGAAGCCAAGGAGAAGATGGCCAACATCTACCTGCAGACCCGCAAAGACACCCGCCTCTACATCGGCTGCTACCGGTAAGCCCCGGGGGGCAGCACCCTGACAGCTGCGTTTCCAGTGGTGTTTTAGGGAGTGTTTCCTCCAGATTGTGTTCCTTCCACCTGGGTCTCAGTGCACGTCCTCCGAGTGTGTTAGATGCCAAGTACAGAATTTCCTGTGGGTCAGAATTTGAGTGTGCCAAGTCAGTCAGGCCGGCTCATTGCTGAGATCTGAAGACCTGGAACCAAATCTGTCCTGCATGGCTGCCCTGTATGGCCCCACATTCTGGTGGGAACCACGGGAATGCACTTCTACCCCGGCCCTGTCTCTGCCTGTCCCTGAAGAAATGTCCAGTGACTTGATGTGGCCAATGAGAGGTGCAGGAGGGTGGAGAGCTGGGGTTAGAAGCCCTATATGATTTGACAGTGGGGGCATAAAAGTACCTTCCCAGCCCCTCCCTCAAGCAAAATTCTGCCTAAGCAATCCAGCGGGGAGGCAGTGCTAGGGGGGTGGGGATGAGGGAGGAGAAGCCAGGAGCAGTGGAGTAATGTGGTCACATGAAGTTTTAGAAAGAGCAGGATAGGGGTGCCTGGGTGGTTCAGTTGTTAAGGGTCTGCCTTTGACTCAGGCCATGATCCTAGGGTCCTGGGATCAAGCCCCACATTGGGCTCCCCACTTGGCGGGAAGCCTGCTTCTCCCTCTCCCACTTCCCCTGCTTGTGTTCCCTCTCTCGCTGTGTCTCTCTCTGTCAAATGAGTAAATAAAATCTTTGAAAAAAAAAAAAAAAAGAGCAAGATGCCTGCTTATGCAGAGGGTTCTGGGAGGGGGACAGGGGTTGGGAGTGGAGACCAGAGGAATGGGTGGAAGTTCTGGCATGGTCCAGAAAACAGATGAGGAGAGCCTAGATGAAGGCGGCTAGTGTGCACAGTGGGCTTTCAATGAGTATTGGGTGATGGTGAATGGATTAATGAATGAATGAATGGATTAGTGGGAAAGAAAAGGAGGAGATGGATTCAGAAACGTGAAAGATGCACAGGTCTGAGTTACGTTTTTGTTTGCTTTTGGAGGGAGCTCTGTGAACATCTGCCTGGTCCCCACACCAGCCTGCTATTGGGTGATGCTTTCATGAACATTCAAGAGGTGAGTGAAAGCCTCATGGCCTTGCCACATGGTCCTCTGATCTCATGTCTCCAGTGGGAGAGAAGAGACACAGAGAGAGATCTCTGGATACTTTCCCCACCAGCCTGAGAAGGCCTTGGAGGTTTATGACGAGGCCTATAGAAAGAACCCACACGATGCATCCCTCGTCAGCAGGATTGGGCAAGCCTATGTGAAAACCCACCAGTACACCAAGGTCAGGCTAGGTTGGGGTGGGGAGGTAGGGGTGGGGTTGGGGGGAGACAGCCCAGCAGGGAAGAGGGAGGAGGATGCATGGGTAGGAGGGTCAGGATGGGAGGGGAGTGGCTGCATTTCCACCCTAGTTCCCTGCTGAGTGGGGTACCAAGGGGAGAATTCAGAAGCCAGCCACCGTTTTTTGCCCCCCTCCACATACACCTGCCCAGCTTGAGCCCTCTGCAGCTGGGAGGGCCTTTCCATCTCAGGCTTCTGTGTTCTGTGGGATCACATGTTGGTGGCCGCTGAGGGGAACACAGTGTGAGGCACTCAAGGGTAGAACCAAACCCAATGCCAGTATTTCCCATTTACCCTAAGGCAATTAATTATTATGAGGCCGCCCAGAAGATCAGTGGACAGGACTTTCTGTGCTGTGATCTGGCTGAGCTGCTCCTGAAGTTAAAGAAATTCAACAAGGCAGAGAAAGTTCTGAAACAAGCACTGGAACATGACTCTGGTGAGGCCATGTCTGAAAGTCTCTCCCCCAGCATACCGTGCCCCCCACCGCCCCCCACACTCTCTTCTCCTGCAGAATGATGCAGGGGTCCTGAACCCAGTTCCCTTCCTCCCCCATCCCCGGCTTCCCAGGGGCCAGAGAACACTGATTTGAGTTTCCATTTTGCAGTCAAGGACATCCCATCCATGATGAATGATGTCAAGTGCTTGCTTTTGCTGGCAAAGGTTTATAAGAGTCATAAAAAAGAAGACGTGATGGGAACTTTGAACGAGGTAATTGACGATAGACAACAGACTCAAGCAAGCTCTTTATCTGCCATTTCCTGATGGGAGCTATAAAAGGAAGGCTGGTCTAGAAGGCTCGAGGGCTGGCCCTCAAAAGAGGACCTAGGTTACACCTCAGGCCTCTGCCTTCCATTTATCCCCATACCTGTGCTCTTCATTGATGGTGCCCCAAAGTGCCTGAAGGCCGGCTGGGCCAGGCTGGAGAAGGCAGGGAGGAGAAAGGTGCCCTCGTCCTCAAGGATGCTAGAGGTAATAATACTGGACAACGCCAGGAGCTCCCAGTCACTGAATGCTCTGTGGTGGGTGCTATACTAGGCTTTTTGCTTTCTTATTAATTCTCACGGTAGCCTTTGAGATACAGCACTGGGACGTTCCTGCTTCACAGATCAGGCTCCAAGAGGTTAAGAAATATGCTCAGAGTCTCACTGCTAGTAAGTGGTGGAGGTTAGATTGGAACCAGGTCTGACCTGATCCAAACAAAGGTCTTTCCCCACCCAGCTGCCTGAATGGGACACTTCCTGGCCATTCCTGCCATACCTTCCTCCCTCGTTCCAGCAAGGGCGTCGTCTGCCACTTGTTGGGGGAAGGGGTGCGTTCTGCGGGTGTAGGAGCAGAGCCCACTCTCTGACCGCTTGAGATGATTTATGCCCTTGTTTCCCACCAGATTCCCACTCCCTTTCGGCCCTTAGAAATCCCAAAGCTTGACCCTGGTGTCTTCAATCCGTCTTCTTCCGATGCTCCGCGGTTACTCACTTGATCATTTTATGTCGTGGGTATTTGTGAAGGCTGACTCAGAGTCCCCACAGGGCAATATTCAGAGCAAACGCATCTGTCAAAACCCAGCCCGCTCTGAGCACCTGCTCTGGGCTTGTGCAAGCACAGATTGGACAAGGAGGCAGCAGGGTGTGATGGAAACAGGTAAACAAGGACAGTACACTAAAGTGTTTTGTTTGGGCGCCTTTGCTTCTCCTCCTGCCCCCAAGGCAGAGCCAGTTTGCCTCCCAAGTACTCAGCCAGTGGCCTTGCCTGTCCAGAGTGACCCAGATCTGCTCAAGGGCACTTGAGATGCCCTTTTCTGATAATATGCTGACACAGAAACCAGAGCGTGGAGACTGGTTGTGAATTGGCCTGAGATCCAGCACATCAGGCTCGGAGTCTCTGATCCTGACTTTACTGGTCTCCCCAGGCCATGGACCTCCAGTCTCGGATACTGAAGCGTGTTCCACTGGAGCAACCAGAAATGATCCCCTCCCAGAAGCAACTGGCAGCCTCCATCTGTGTCCAGTTTGGGGAGCACTACCTGGCAGAGAAGGAGTTTGCCAAGGCAGTGCGTTCTTATAAGGATGCCCTCTTCTACTCGCCCGTTGACAATAAGGTGGGGTCCTCAAAGCCAGAGCGTGCCCCTTCTCTTGGGCCATGATGCCTTGCAGAGTTTCCTGCCTAGGGGCAGAGGCCAGGTCCTTTCCTGTGCCTCCCTGAGGACCTGAGGTATAAGGGCCCTGAGACCCATGGTGTGGGGAGCCTGCTCTAGCTGACCCTGGGGCTCTCGAACTAAGTCTGGGAAGCCTCACTTTGGACAGCCACTTGTGGGAGGTGGAGTGGGAAAGACGCTGCCAAAAGTCATGTTAGTCTGGCATTTCTGGGTCCCCCCCCCTTGGAGGCGGTGACACAGTGAGAGCTGTGGCTGCCTGGGGTCTTGGGGCACAAACTCAGACTAAGCTTCCAAGGAGGTTCAGGGTCATGAGGGTGGTGTGGCTCTCCAGAGACAATGGTGGGTGGAGTCCGTACTAGGAGAACGGAGAAAAAGCTCAGTGGCCCAGCCATTCATTCATCTAACAATCATTTGGGGCACCTGGGTAGCTCAGTTAAGCATCTGCCTTTGGCTCAGGTTGTGATCACAGGGTCCTGGGATTGAGTCCCACAGGCTCTCTGCTCAGTGGGAGACTGCTTCTCCCTCTCCCTCTGCCTGTTGCTCTGCCTGCTTGTGCTCTCTCTCTCTCTCTCTCTCTGTCAAATAAATAAATAAAATATTTAAAAACAACAACAACAACAAAACATGCACTTGTTTAACAGATGTCTCAAATGTGCCAGACACAGTGGGCCCAGACCTATCCCTGCCCAAAGACTGCCTCAGGGAGGGGGCACAGATGAGCACATTTGTAGTTCCAATGCTACACGATATATGCCTGCATGTGGGTCTGCACACCGTGGGAACTCAGAAGATAGGCACCTGCTCCGCGTCTGGGCCATGGAAGGCAGCCCAGAGATGGTTAGGTCAGAGCCAGAGCTGAAGGCGAGGTACAAGTTATACTCAGTTAGTGAAACACATGGTATGATTGGAGAACTGGTAAAGGAAAAGAGGAGGGCCAGAGACCTAACAGAAGCGGGTGATGAAAGCGGGAGACACTAGCCTCGGAGTTTCCCCTTGATGCTCGCTGGTCCGTTTTGTCTTGTCGCAGGTGGTGCTGGCGCTGGCGCGGCTCTTCCTGCTGCAGGGACAGCTGGACCTGTGTGAGCAGCACTGTGCCATCCTCCTACAGTCTGAGGAGCACCACGAGACTGCCTCTGTGGTAGGAGCCCCCACCCCGAACCTTCTGCCTGCCCTCCCCAGGCTCCCTGTGACTCTGAGGGCTGCTTCCCAGCCCTAGAACTCAGTCGCCTGGCTGCCCCACCCACAAGGGCTGCCAGGCAGAGGGGATGGAGTGCGGGGCCGCTGCCCTTCACTGGGTAGGGGTGGCAGCAGGGACCACGTCAGTCTCCTGGGCCCATCCAGGGGGAGGTGGGAGGGGGAACCACACCTATAGTCGGTGAAGGCAAGGGTGGGACAGGTTCCTGGGTTTAAAGAAGAGTGTGGGGGCGCCTGGATGGCTCAGTGGGTTAAAGCCTCTGCCTTCAGCTCGGGTCGTGATCCCAGGGTCCTGGGATCGAGCCCCGCATCGGGCTCTCTGCTCAGCAGGGAGCCTGCTTCCCTTCCTCTCTCTGCCTGCCTCTCTGCCTACCTGTGATCTCTGTCTGTCAAATAAATAAATAAAATCTTAAAAAAAAAAAAAAATAAAGAGTGTGGGAAAAACCCTCTCCTGCCTAACTTCTCTCCTCCCTAACACCCAGACAGCCGCCAGGGCCACCCCGTAGAAGAGGGGATCCCTCATTCCGCCTCCACTGCCTGCAGCTGGCAGTTCTCAGACACAGGTGGAGAGGCTAGTTCTGTTGCAGCTTGTCAAAGGGTCCTTCTGGTATCCAGCCCTGGGCTTCTCTTCCCACTCACATCCTCTCCCCCCAACCGCAGGCAGGCCTTCCTTCTGGGCTCCTCCTGTGGCCGCTTGGAAGTGCTTTCTCACCTGCCCTGCTTATCCCCACCCCTGGCCAGCCTACCCACCAGGGAATTCCTGGGCACTGTGTGTTTTCTGACAGATGATGGCTGACCTGATGTTTAGAAAACAGAAATATGAAGCTGCTGTCGATCTCTACCACCAAGTCCTGGAGAAAGCGCCAGGTAACTGCCTGCATTAAGACTGGCTACATCAGTTCCCACCCTGCAAAGACTGTTCTCCCTTGAGAAGAGTGGGCCCCCTCCCCTCCTTCCTGACTGGGCAGAGGAAGCCCCTTCCTCTCTGATTGTTCCCAGAGCGGCAGGAAACTGATAAAGCCCCGATGGAACATGCTGGCCCTTCCCCAGTCCAAGGGGCCAGTTCCTGGTCTCCTGGTCTCAGGCAGGGCAGCGTTTGGCACTGGACCCAGGAGAGCCTGTCTGTCCCCACATCACAGCCATTGGACTGGATGTGGCTCCCTTCTGAGGTCACAGCACCTGGAGGTGGCTCGAAATTCTCCCTTATGGGTAGCTGCATTTCTCCCTCATTGCAGTATCAAACCACAGTCTTGCTGGGGCAGGGAACCATACCTGACGCTCAGACTAGAGCCCCTGGAGGCCCAAAACCAGCTCTGCCTAGAGGCCCAGCCGAGTGCAGCTATTAGGAGGGTGGATCCCGGAGCCAGATGGCCTATGTCTAACTCAAGCTCTTCCACTCACCAGCTGTGTAACCTTTGGCAGATAACTTCTTTGTGTCTCAGTTTCCTCATCTGTGAAATGGGAAACATTGGTACCCCGTTGTGTAGTTAATATACATGCAAAGCGCTTCATGCCAGGTACTGTACAAGTATTAGCTATTATTACTACTTTTCAGTATGATGATGATAATTCTCTCAACTGTGGAGACCAGTAGAGACATTGAGGCTGTTGGGATGTCCCGGCTCAGCCCAAACCAGGCAGTGTCTGCTGGTCCCCTCCCTTCTCCATGCCATCTGGCAGCACCCAAACGGATGTAGCTAGTAGTTAGCATAGCCTCGAGATTTCTGCTTTCTTATTTTAGACAATTTTTTGGTACTGAATAAACTAATTGATCTGCTATGGAGAAGTGGCAGACTTGAAGATGCCCCTGCCTTCTTTGAATTGGCCAAGAAGATGTCCAGCCGCATTCCTTTGGAGCCAGGCTTCAACTACTGCAGAGGCATCTACTGCTGGTGAGTGGAGTGGGGAGAGGGAGGGTCCGTATGATCTCCAGCAGGGGTTCTTCCTAGCAGACACGCTGGGCTTCTGCAGAAATTCAGCGAGCAGATCAGGGTGCGGGGAGAGCAGCGATCCAGCCCCACTGTGCACAGACTCAGGGAGTGGTCCCTGCAAGTCTCTGCCCTCCCTGGCCCTCAGTTTCCCTCTCTGGTTCTTGGATATTTCTCTTCTCCGCTACAGGCACATAGGGCAACCCAACGAAGCACTGAAGTTCCTAAACAAAGCGCGCAAGGACAGCTCGTGGGGCCAGAGTGCCACCTACTACATGGTACAGATCTGTCTGAACCCAGACAACGAGATCGTGGGCGGAGAGGCTTTTGAGAACCTGGTGGCTGAGAGCAAGTAGGGGCCCGGCTGACCTGGGTTGCGGGGGGCGCAGGGGCAGGACCCTGGGAAAGGAGGGGAGAGCCTCGGGAGCGGCGGGGTCCAGGCCAAGTGAGGGCCCCACGAGTTCCGGGTTCCGGTGTCCAATGGCCGCAGCTCCACCGACAGGAAGGGCTCGGAGCAGCATGGTGTGCGCACCGCGGAGAAGCTGCTGCGTGAGTTCTACCCGCACTCGGCCCGGGGCCAGACCCAGCTGCGACTGCTGCAGAGTCTCTGCCTGCTGGCCACCAGGGAGAAGGCCAACGTGGAGGCGGCGCTGGGCACCTTCATCGAGATGGCGCAGGCCGAGGTGGGCCGGCGCGCGGGACGGGCGGCGCGTGGGGCGAGGCTGGGGGCCCAGCGCACTCATGCCCGCTTACTGCACCCCCCCAACCCCCCGTGCGCAGAAGGAGAGTGTCCCCGCCCTGCTGGCCATGGCACAGGCCTACGCGCTGCTGAAGCAGGTCCCCAAGGCGCGCACGCAGCTGAAGCGTCTGGCCAAGGCCCCGTGGGCGCTGGATGAGGCCGAGAACCTGGAGAAGAGCTGGCTCCTACTGGCGGACCTGTACTGCCAGGGCGGCAAGTTCGACCTGGCGTCGGAGCTGCTGCGGCGCTGCGTGCAGTACAACAAGGCAGGGGGCGCGCCGCGGTCGGGGGAACGGGGACGCCAGGTGGAGGCAGGGCGCGAGGGGCGTGTGGGCGTCGGGGGCAGAGGAGGTGCCGGTTAGAACCTGATGAGAAGAGGCTGGACAAAAGAGGGCACATGCACGCTAAACGAGATGGGAACGGAACCGGGGGGCGGGAGCGGGGAGGGGGACCGGGCTAGGGTCGGGCAGAGGCGGGCAGGGTCGGGCAGCCAAGAGAGATGGGAAGGGCTCGAGGGGTGTGGGGGTCAGAGTGGGAGGGCTGTGGGGAAAGGGGTCATGCCAACGTCGGGGTAGCCTAGAGGGGGCACACGGTAGACCCCTCGCAAAGGTCGGAGATGCTACTGGAGACCCTGAGAGGTTAGAATTAATGCAGCTCACCACCATCCTTTGCCCACCCCCCAAACCCGCCCTCCCCCGCGGGTTGTACCCTGTGCTGGGACCGGGTGTGGCTTTCCCTACAGTCCTGCTGCAAGGCCTATGAGTACATGGGCTTCATCATGGAGAAGGAGCAGTCCTACAAAGATGCAGCCACCAACTACGAGCTGGCCTGGAAGTACAGTCATCACGCCAACCCTGGCATTGGTAAGGCAATCAGCCAGGGTGCATGTGGGTGACCTGGACGCTGGGCAGGAGGACCGAAACCCTGGCTCTTGTGTGGTTAGGGTGCCACTGTCTGTGTTCCCTGTGCCCCTGGATAGGCTTCAAACTCGCTTTCAACTACTTGAAGGACAAGAGATTTGTGGAGGCCATTGAAGTCTGCCACCATGTAAGCCATTGTAAGCCCCTGGGATACATTAGGGGTGGGGTGGGGGGCTGGTGCTGTGGCCTGGTCCTGGTGCAGAGACGGACACCCCTGCCTGATGCTGCACCCCTTTCTTCCTCTGTCCCAGGTTCTCAGAGAGCATCCTAATTACCCCCGGATCAGAGAAGAAATTTTGGAAAAGGCCCAAGGGTCTCTGAGGCCCTAGCTGTGGTCAATGGGAGCCAGGGTGGGTGGAAGCCATCAAGCTATAGAAGTTTCTTGGAGGGGTTGGGAAGTGGGGCGGGGGAGAAGAGATTCAGAAAATGACATATTCTTACCCATTTCTCTATTGTGTGTGGTTTATTTGAATCATGCCTCATCTGGTCTAAGGGCATCCCAAAGCTTTGTGTTTTTAAGGCACAAGAGGCACTTTTGCTCTGAGGAGAAGAGAGATCCACCAGCTTAACTTATGCTGGGCTCACTGGGCACCTTCTGTTGGGCTCCATTTTTATTCCAGACTCTGTGAGGGAGCAGAGGGGAACAAAGAGGCGGTTTGGGGAAAAAAACAAAAACAAAAACAAAACTCCCTACATCTATTTTCATATTATTATGTTAGTTTATAAATGCCTCCCCTCTCCTATCTGGTCTTCAGACCTCCAGAGCTCAAGAAGCGACTCCCCACAGCATCCTGCCCAGCTGGGGCACAGACAGGACCAGCTCGGAAGGTCCCGCAGCTGAGGCTGTGTGAGGGAGGCCATCATCCCATAGGCTGTGGAGGCCCTTGGCTCACTCTATCCATACATTCTGTCTCCTCCCCAGGTCCTCCGCTGGCCTCTGCTGCTCCTCACTGGTTTGGGACAAACCCCATTACCCATGACTGGTACAGCCCAAGAAAAAAATAGCTCCCCCTTCAGATTTTCTAAAAGACACTGACCAACAGATTTATCCTCCAGAAACCTTTTTCACGCCTCGGAGGACAAAAGCAATGGTCCCTATTTAGAGGAATTATGTTACTTGTAACTGGCAAGAGAGTGGCAAAGTTCACTTTTGCTGCAGCTCCCAACACTTCTCTTCTTGTTTTTCATGATGCCAGTAACAGGCCCAGTTTGGCCTCAGAGGAAGGAACTCTGAACTGGGAGTCAGGACTGTGACCTTCCCGAGAGCTTCTGCTCTGTGGACTTCAGTGTCCCCCTCTTTGGTAGGAAATTAGATGAGATGTGCCTGTCCCCAAACCGTGATACAAATCCCTTCCAATGATATACAGCAAATAGTTTATAGTTTAATAACCAAGTGTTTAAAAATCATTGTTACATAATAGAGAAAAATAACTAGCATGACAAAGTCATGAATTCATGAGTGCTGTTACTCAGAATGGTTCTAACTTTTAAGCATGTCAATATAATTGATATAAAGCAAAATACTTAGTATGAGTAGAATGCAGCAAAATTTTCAAGATAAGTTGTCCAGTGATGACAGTTTGGGAACTGGACAGGTAGGGGTCGCGTTTAGAACAGAAAGAATTATCCTTGGTGGTGGCTGAGCCTTGTCTTTGTAACACCCCGCTGACCACATGTATGGCCTCTTGATCTGAGTCAGTGATCTGGAACGCTTTCCCCACGTTACTACCATTCTTCCTATGGGAAACCAGTCCCCTTTACTAGCATCTGCTTTACAATCTGGTTTCTTGGGGCGGGTTGTTGAGAGACTGGTTTGTCTGTATGGAGAATGATGCTATAAAGGATTGTACATTAATCACATTTTTATTACTGTAAAACCTAAATGGTCTTCATTTATCTTTATAAAAAAAAAAAAAAAAGGCCAGGAAGCGATCTTGTTGCCCTAGACGGGGAGAGGGTGGGTTCAGTCCTGCCATGGGCTATGTCCTCGGTTTAGGAGCCTGTGGGGGCTTCCCGCCAGGGAACTGGAGCAGCCAGGAGCTGCTGTCCAGACCCCCAGGCTAATCAGAGCAGGGCCTCAGAGCCCTTGGAGAGACCCAGACTTTGAATCATGCGTGCTGAAACAAACTCTACAGGAGTGTTCTCAGCTGAGGACCAGCAGCAGGGAGACAGAGCGATGGAATGTACCAGGATACTCTACCAGGAGAAGCCAAAGTCCTGGCTGTCCCTGGCTAAGCTGCTTACAGGGACAGGCTACCCATCACAGGCCAGGCACCAAGCTATGGATCCTCTCCTGACCACTGATGATGAGGCCATGTCCATGCATGTTCAGAGGTAAGAGACAGATACCCAGAGAGTGGCAGAACTGGCAGAGAAAGGATAAAACATAGAGATAGTGGCAGAAACATGAAAACAATATGGAAGTCACAAACATGCCCCAGGTACTCTCCTACGTGCTGCATATATGCGAACTGAATGAGCTTTTGAGACAAGCCGTGTTATTTGCACAGTATTGAGGACACCTAGACCCAGTGGCAGTGATTTGCCTAAGTCACTTTGCTAGGTAGGAGAGCTGGGATTTGAACCTGGCACTCTGGGTCCGTGTTCTTACCCAATAAGCCTCAGAGATAAAGTAAGGAGAGCCCAGCACAGACCAAAAGGCAGAGAATCAGAGCCAGATCTGGTCTCCCTCCCAGCACGTTGTATAAATCGTTATTCCTAAGGGGGAGGCTGACCTTGCTCCTCAGGCCCTAGGCTGGGAGTCCCCAGGGCAGGGTGCAGCCTGCTCCTCTGGCCTGCAGCCGGGCTGCTGGGGACAGGTCAGACGGGTCTGGCTGGTGCAGATGGTTGAGGTCCTGCAGCTTCCTTTGCTTGAGTCCCCCGGGCCTCAGCTGCTCAGCCCTAAAAGAGGACTCTACCAGTCACATCCCACTGTCTGCCCCTAACTGGGAGTGGGGGGTGGGGGCTTCGTTCTCTAGGCCAGGCCCCACCCAGCTCAGTGAGACCAGTGGAAAACAGCTGAGCAGAGAGCCATCTCAGAAGACTACACTGCCCCAGCTCACCACCACCCTGGGAGACCACTGGAGAGATGGGCTCGTGGGAAGGGAAAACTGCTCTGCCTGGCAACCTCCCAGTGGGCTTCCTGTCTCCAAGGTGAGAGGCCTGCATGGGAGGAGGCCCATCTGGTTGTGACCCTCACTCCTACCTCAACATAGCCTCTGAGTCCACATCATCCTGCGGGGAGCCCCTCCCCCTCCCCACACACTCCCTCCCAAGGGTATACCCCCCCCCATCTCCCAGTCCCACAAACGCAGACCACACTGTTTAAAAATAGAGCCTCTTTATTGGTACCTGTAAGCTCAGGTACAAGGTGTTCCCACAAGTACACAAGCTGGCAAGGCCGCCTGGGCAAGGCAGCAGGCCCAGAGCCTGGGCTTCTTGGCACAGACATAGAGAAAAATGAATAAATTATAGTTCTGACACTCAAGGACGATACAGAAATTAGGATGCAAAACTCAACATCAGCAAACAAAGGGCATAAAAGCCAAAAGGGCCACTCCTCACCGAGCCAACTGGCTTTAGGGCATGGGCAGGTGGCTGGGGCTGACATGCAGTGCCCAGAAAGCCCTGAGATAGCCGTCAGGAGCGTGCTGTGGGCCCCGAGGCTAGTCCCTCGCCCTCTCTGGGCTTCCTGCTTCCCTTCTACATTAGTGGGCCCAGAATAAAGCCTGTGGCCTTTGGGGTGGAAGACCATGAGGCAGAGGACAGGAAGCAGAGGGGGCTGTGTGGGGGCAGAAGCAGATTTTGGTCACGGTTGGCCTGGCCAGCCCAGCGCAGCCCAGCCCAGTCTCCTACCTAGACGCTGTCCCCAGCCACTTGCCTCTCATAGGCTGCTGCTGCAGTAGACTGTAGGCACCCAATCCACACCTGGTTTGTACCAAAGCCCAGGCAGGTTAGGGGATGCACAACAAGGCAGAAGGGACTCGCAGGAGTCTGTGCCCTACCCCAACTCCAGCACTGCCCACCGGCCAGAGGGGAGAAGCCTACGCCTTCTAGTCTCCAAATAAATTATGGAAATAAATTATAGTCTTCACAGTCCACAAAATATAGCCACCCGTGGGTCTGAGGCTCAGGGTGGCAGGAGAAGCCATTAGAAGTGGCAGATTTCAGCCCTGTCTTGTTCAGGCTAAAGAACTTCACACGAGACCGGAAAGGGGTCTGCAAAGCTCCAGGGGAGCCATATTTCCTCCTGTTCCTGGCACACACCATGGAAAGTGGAAGAAGAGACTGTGTGGGCTCTGGGGGGGGGGTGTGGTGGGGGGGCCAAGTGGCTGACAGGGAAAGCCCCCTCCCTGCCCTTTCTTCAGCACAGAAGAAGTTAACAAAAATAAATAAGTCAATCCAAAGTGTTGCACAAAACTCAGGAGTGCCCGCATGGATGAGCCAGCCCACGGGAAAACCCTTAACATACAGACCTCAGGGAGCCCCCAAATTACAACAAAGCAGCAACAGGGCTCTTGGGACCATGAAAAGGTCCCCTACTCCTCACACAGGCACCGGCTCCACCAGGGGCACTGGGGCCGGGTCCTCAAACAACTGGCTGTCCATGAAGGGTGCCGGGGCCTCAGTGGCTGAGTCCGCCAGGCCCACAAGGGACTCCAGGAGGCAAGCGCCAGTGTCCCCTGCTGGAGAAAAGGTTGGCAGGGGGAAGAAGGGGGCCTCCGGGTTGTCCAGGCTGTCAGACACCTTCCGGGAGGTGTAGTGAGGCCCCAGACTATAGTCTGGCAGGGCCTGGAGCAGCTCGAAGGAGTCGCAGGAAGACAAGCTGAGGTCCACAGAGTTGCTCTGGCCAGCATCTGAGCTGGGCAGCACTGAGGCACCGGGGAAGCTGCCTTCTCCCAACCCTTCAAGGCTACTGTTCAGGAAGAAGCTGGCATCCAGGTTGGCGTTTTCATCCAGGATGCCTAACGTGAGGCTAGAGCTGGAATAGCTGTGGGTCCAGCTGGCCAGGCCACCGGGCTCACCAGTACCAAAGATATCAGCTGGGTGGAAGCAGCTGAGGTTGTCCAGGCTCCCCACTCCCCCTTCCTCTTCTTCCTCCTCCTCCCCTCCCAGGTCAGAGTCACTGAGACTCAGGACCCGGGCCAAGCTGTCATCATCCATGTCGGGCTGGAAGCCAGGGCCAGGCAGGGCTGGGTGGGCGGTGCCGCTCGGGGCCTCGCTGGTGCCCGAAGCTGTGGAGGAGTCGGTCATGTCGCTGCTACAGCTGTTATCTCCCAGCTCGCTGCTCACGGGGGGCTTGGCCAGCGGGAAAGCAGGGGCCAGGACC